CACTCTGTGGGGCTGCACAGCCACTGTGGGGCTGCACACACTCTGTGAAACTGCACAGCCACTGTGGGGCTGCACACACTCTGTGAAACTGCACAGCCACTGTGGGGCTGCACACACTCTGTAGGAGAAAAAAAAACCCCAAAATTCCTGAAAATGAAATTCCAAGAAATAGCCCCAGTTAGGTTTTCTGGAAGCTTCTTCATTCCCTTCTCCACCACACACCCCTGGCTCTAGGTCAGGATAGGGGAAGAAGGGAAGTAGGCAACCAAGAACCAGGAGATCAAGTCCTTGGGGGAAAGGGCCAAGGTACTGTCCAAGAACAGGGAGCTCTTGAGTACACTGAGAATTTGGAGACCAAAGTGAGAAGAGGGTTGTTTTGTGGAACAAGTGGAAGTCGGGAATATGGGCTGGGCTTAGCGGTTAAGAGCACTGTCTGCTCTTCCAGAGGACCCAGGTTCAATTCCCGACACCCACATGGCAGCTCACCACTGTCTGTAACTAGTTACAGACAGAAGGGATCTGACACCCTCACATAGACACATACGCAGACAAAACACCAATGCATGTAAAATAAGGGAAAAAATCATAAAAGAGAAACAGAAGATTAAGAGGATGGGACCATTTAACATGCAGTTAATTAGCAGGAACATTTGCCCAGGACTGGAAATCAGAATCCTATCACAAGCAAGTTTGTGCTGGAAATGCTAACTGGCATGTCACCCCAAAGACTCCTTCTGCCATTCATATGTCCCTATGTCCTTCCCATGAAGGAATTATGGGTTCATTCAGGGAGCCTGACTCTGCCATGGAATGCCCTTGTGGGTCCCCAGAAACAAACAAACAATCAAAACCAGGCCCCCAGGGTGCTGGGAATGGGCTCTAGAATCTAACAGTTTCTGGCTGCCACTGGACTTATTTCAAATCATCAGTCACTGAGGTCCCACTGGCAGCAAACTGGGTTGTCACCAGGACAAGTCGTGCCTGTGCATGGAGTTTAGTATCTGCTTGTCCGCAGGGGACACCCGAGAGCCACCCAAGCAAGGGGCAGCCTTCTGCGTCTGCTGTTTCATCCCCCCTCCCCTATCCCCATGGGAACGATGGGGATGCAGGCAGCAGCATCCATTGGCTCTGAGCCTACAAGGTCAGAGGTCCCCACTTTACTGGGGGAGCCTAATGGAAGTGGACTTTGGGGAAGGAAGGCTGTGTCCCAGATACAAGTGACCACACATCCCCCTCTCACCAGAGACCTCTCTTCCCAGACTCAGATCTCCACTTCCAGACAGGCAAGAAACTGCCAAGGCTGTGTTCTTCACACTGCAATCACCCAACGTGAGTCGTTTGCAAGCAACAATTTCTTTTAATGGAAAATAGAAAATTCAGGGTATCCCAGGTCCCAAGGCTGAGAACTCCTTCCTGAGACTGAAGACACAGATTGTGTGACTGACTGATGACGTAAAGCACACTGCTTGCCGTGGACGATGGTCCACAGGTCTGAAGAGCAGTCCTGACTCTGAGCTTCACTCCTTCCTAACCCCGGGGCAGAAGGGGAAAGGGCAGCACAGGTGCACGCCAAAGGACACTGACAATGTCTCCCACCAACCTTTCCAACGCGATTTTATTAGTGCTTGCTTCCGGAAAGGAAATCTTTGGTATTTCCCCACACTGGCCTCCCCTGTGCAACTCCCCACAGATAGAGGCGAGTCATTCTTCTGGGTAAGAACAGGACATTCTAGGCTCAGGCTGGGCAGTGACTCACTGTTATTCAGAATGGTGACACAAAGCCTGTTCACCCTCTCTCCCGAGTCATGCAAGGCCTTTGGAGGGCTGAGTCCTTAAAGAACAGATGAGAACGCACTGGGGCTAAGAAGCCAGAGAGGCAGACAAAAAAATAAAAAACAAAGGAAGGACGTTTGGCACTAAACTTGCCGCCTGGGTGGAATG